GGAGGATTTATGGCTTTTTCTCCACCTGTGGATCCACCTGCCTGCCCCCCTAGTTGTACCCCAAATACTGTACCTCCCTCTGTTCAACCGCATACTTCTTTAGGTTGGCATTGAGCCCGCCTGCCTCAGGGACTGGTCACCCACTGCACATGCTCCGCCCAGGTCTCACTGTAGGTGATCACACCATCCAGGGGTGTGGCTGCAGCACCCGGTACATGAGGTGCAGGAAAGTGGCAGGGGCTCTAGGAAGTGTGACAAATTAGTTGAAAGCATACGAAGTGAAGAATGCAGTTTTTTACTTGGACTCTGCAGATGAGGTAATCTGCCAGTACCTCTTAGTTAAATTCAGTGTGGTGAAATATCGAGCTGTGCCTAACAAGTGGCTCGTCGACAGGGGGGCATGGAATAAGCATCAAACCATGACACCTCATCCACCTTGCGGTTGTCGACACAGATTTTTCTTCGGAACCAGAACTATGGGGCTACACAAAGTGCTGTGCGACTCTTCTGTCCACCCACATTTTTAGCATGTAGGTCTATTCCTTCTGAACGAGTGTTCTTTATGTTCACGTAACCTGTAGGGCTGTGAACGCACCATCATGCCAGGCTGCTTTTCAAAATGGTGATAATCTCCTGTAACATTAAAGGTCAAAGGTCACATGAAAACTGTCATGCATTGGGAAAACTAATGCTCCACTGCTGCCACCTGCTGGCTGTTATCATGCAGTGACTGATGCCTCTTTCCATTTACACACAGTGCATACATTCGGCGGCCACTTTATTAGGTATACCTTGCTAGTCCCATGTTGGGCCCCTTTTTGGCTTCTGAGATATTTAAATTCTTCATGGCACTGATTCAACAAGCTACTGGAAACATTCCTCACAGATTCTGGTCCATATTAAAATGACTGCATCACACAGATGCTGCAGATTTGTCCATGATGTGAATCTCCTGTTAAAACCACCTCCTAAGATGTTCTGTTGGACTGAGATCTGGTGACTGTGGAGGCCATTGGAGTATTTCAGTAAACTTGTTATGTTCAAGAAATTAGTTTGAGATGGTTTGATTTTTGTGACACAGTCAGAATACTTCAGAAGGCTCTAAAAAGTACATTTTTAGCAGATTCTGGTTTATGTGAGTCATCTTCTTTTTTAATAGGCATGTCTAGTCAACTGCCAGTGAAACCATTATATTGATACAGATATATCTGAGCAGCCAATCACATGGCACAAATCTGGGGCCTCTGCTAGACGTTCCCAGCACACCCTCACTACGC